ATGTCTCAAAGTGCTTCACAGGATTTACTGTAAAGTGCAGTGACTGTATTTTGTAGCAAATGTGATAGACAATTTTTGCACAGCAGTGTCCCACAAACAGCCATAGTGGGCTGAGATCTTGATTTTATGTCTCGTTTGAAAGAAGATAGCAACTCCAAAAATACAATGCTTTCCCCAACACTGCACTGGAGTGTCACCCTGGACTGTAAGTTCAAAGTCCCAAACTTTGAACCTGGAGGAGAGTGCTACCATCTGAGTCAGGCTCACACGTAAGCCAAGCTGGCACTTGTATTACTAAAAAAAAGTGGAATTAGGTTCTCTGAGGAAACTCTTCTTTCTAAAACAAATGCTTGATCTAGGGCCAGATAATTGGCAATTAGAAAATGTGTCCAGTTCAATAAGACATTGATTATACACTTGTATTGACCTTTCATTTCTGGATCTAGCAACTATTTTATTTCAAGTATTTCCAGTAGAGAAATAATTACATTTGCAAAGATGACGTTTAAATAAGGCTGAAAAAAGTAACTTTACAACAGACAAAAACAAAGACCTTGGCTTTTGTGTGGGCATGAAAAAACATTTGTTATTTATATAAATCCACCTTTATCTTCCAAGTTGATCAATGTACCTTGCACTGGTTGCACAAAATATATAAGCCTCAAGGCTATGTTGAGGATTTTCTTTCCATTTTAAGGATTGATTACTGAGTGGATTATCAGCAGATACCACAATCTCCTACAGTGTATATCTTTGTGCTGGTGCTTGCTTCAAGTGTTTTTGGTCAGCTGGGTGTCTGCAATGGGGAAAACCATCATCAGGCTTAAGAGTATCCAAACCAGACTTAGAGTTCCATGAATACCTCCTTCCTTGTCTAGAATGGAATATACACACTTTCCCTAGAGGGACACACTCTACTTTTGCAACCGGGACCCTAGAGTGTATAGTGCGTACTGGAGTATAACCAGCTAAATCCACATAGCTGTTTGTCCAGCTAGGATCACCCTACCGAGTAGGGCTTTGCCTTGCAGGATTAACAGATGCTGAGTAGGAAGAATTCATATCCAATGACTGGTTTGCCAAGTCCTGCCAACAGTGCCCTGGTGTATTGCAGACCCACCTGGTTCAGGACCCAGACCACCGAGACCTCCACAAAGTGTTGCCCTTTTTCTGACATTCCATTGCTAAACAACAAGATTACATTTGTGTAGCACCTTTCATGTTGGGAGGATGTCCCAAGGCGCTGGACAGTGTACAACATTTCAGATCCGAGCTGGGGTCAGGGGGGAGAAGGGAGGGGAGGGGTGACCAATGGCATGGTCGAAGAGAAGGGGTTTGAGGCGGGATTTGAAGGAGACTAAGGAGGGGTGAGGCGGAGTGATTGGGGGATGGAGTTCCAGAGGTTGGGGGAAGAGTGGCTGAAGGTTCTCCCGCCAATGGTGGGGCGGGTAGGTCGGGGGACATCGAGCAGGCCAGAGCCGGCTGAGCAGAAGGAGCGGTCGGGTTGGTAGGGGGTTAGAACGTCACAGAGATAGGGTGGGGGCGAGACTATTGAGGGCTTTGTAGGTGAGGATCAAGATTTTGAGCTGGATCCTCTGAAGGATAGGGAGCCAATGGGGTTGGGTGAGAATGGGGGAGATGAGGTCATGGAGTTTGGTGCAGGAGAAGACATCGGCTGCAGAGTTTTGGATTATCTGCAGCCTGGAGGGAGGATTTGGGAAGGCTGACAAGCAGGGAGTTTGAGTAGTCGAGCCTGGAGGTGATGAAGGCATGAACAAGAGTTTCAGCGGCCTGAGGGTTGAGGTAGTGGCGGAGTCGGGTGATGTTATGGAGGTGAGGGAAGGCAGAGTGGTCATGGCTTGGATGTGGGTAAGAAAAAAACAGTTGAGGGTCGAACAAGACACCTAGGTTCCTGACTGGCTGGTGAATTGAAGTGTACAACCATGGAGGTTGATGCTGCCAGAGCCTGAGGTGCAGAGGCGCTGGGGCTATCCAATCAGCAGGACCTCAGTCTTGTTCACATTCAATTGTAGGAAGTTTGCCCTCATCCAGGACTTGATTTCCGACAGGTAGTCTGTCAGGACAGCAGTGCTCCTGGAATTGAGGGTGGAGGCAGAAAGATAGAGTTGGGTGTCATCCGCATACATACGAAAGTAAACACGTTAACTTGGAGCCAGTTCAGCTCCAAGGAGACCCCATTTACCTCTCTCCTCCCCCAGAAGATAGATTAAAGCATGCATGGTGAAGGTTTGTGCTAAAGTGCGTGCTATGGCACTGTCTGTCATATACTGTCATATTGCACACATTGGAGTGGAAAATCTGATGTGTCAAAACAGATATGGACATGATGTGATAATAGAATCTGTTAGGAAACATTGTGGTTTCCCCCATTGCTTCGGAGCCTGTTTCTCTATGAATTTCACTCTCCACAGCTGTGATCTGAGAATTTTGCAATATGGTGCAGCTCAAATGGCTCATCATCTGTTTCAGCAGTCAATGTGAACTGCACCTTATTCTAGGTGTGTCACCATTAGGTGCTACATTTTCCTCAAGCCCAATGGAACTCAATTCTTAATTCCCAGTGTTCCCAGTTCCCAATATTGGCATGTAGGAATGTTAGATGCTAATACAGTTTTATTATATCTTTGCTTGTTCAGGTGGTTCAGACTCAAACTTGACACTGTCAAGTTTCTGATGCTCAACATTTCACTCAATTTTAGCATGTGAGAGCACTTGTCTTTAAATATAAGAATGTGCAGACTTGTGGAAAATTCTTAAACTCAGTCTAATTTGGATCAATAATTTGCACTTGTACATCGCCTGGAACATCTCAAAGCACTTTACAGAGATGGAGTGGAAGTTCGAGCAGGGCGGATGAAGGGTGTAAGGGGGAAGATAAAAGGAAGATCTGTAGGTAGGTATTGAAAGCAGAGAAGGAGGAGGTGAGATGGAAGAATTCAGCAGGAGCGTTCTGGAGGACAGGCAAAAGGTGGGGGCAGGGACATGAAGCAGGCCAGTGTTGGCTGAGCTGAGGGAGTGGCCAGAGCGGATGGGATAAGGCTGTGGAGGCATTTCAAGATTTGAATTAGAAAACAAAGGAAGGTTTCCATGTAGCAGTTACAAATAAAGCAAATACAAAATAGATAATCATCGTTACATGAATATATAGGATAAGGTATTGCACCACAAAGCAGCAGTGACCCTTTCAAAACAAGTTTAAAATAAATCTGTTTTTATTTTAAAATTATTATTAAAAGAAGTTTTAAATAAACTATTCAGGTGGATTTTAAAGATCCCATGGCACTATTCAAAAAGAGAAGGGAGTTTCTCCTGGTATCCTAGCCAACAATCCCCCAAATTAAAAAATAAAATATTGGTCACTCACTCCATGGCTGTTTGTGGGACATTGCTGTGCACAAGTGGCCACTGCTTTTCACCCACAAATACAGTCAATTCACTTTACATTATATCATGTGAAGCACTTTGAGACTTCTCAACTATGTATAAGCTACTATATCAAATGCAAAGATAATAATCCTTGCATTTGTTATAGTGCTTTTCATATCTTCCAGACGTCTCAAAGCGCTTCACAGAATATACTGTAAAGTGAATTGATTGTATATTTGTAGGCAAAGCGTGGCAGCCAATTGCGCACAGCAGTGTCCTGCAAACACTCGTTGATTGAGCGACCAAATTATTACTTTTTTTTTGGCGGGAGAGACAATTATCCCCGGAATAGTGATCTGCCAATTGACTAATAACCGGGTTCCTACTTATTGCTAGGCAAACAGAGGCATGTGGGATAAGGAAAACTGCCCAACATGTTGCCTTGCCTGTAATCGAACCCAGGTCTCTCGCTTACGAGGCGAGTGTTCTAACCACATACTCCACCTGTATCTAATCTAAGTAGACTATAGGATGCAAAACAATATTTGGCTCGGTTTAGTCTCTTGCTGAACTATTCGAAGGAAGGGTATCTATCCACTTTTTCAGATAAGAGTGTCTCACGGTGGACGGGAAGTGTAACATTTTTGTCATTACTTAGTGAATACGTTTCTCTTATGTGAACTGCTCTTTGCTTTCAGAAAATCAAGGAATTGATAATAAATCAATCTTATTTACATATATTGTCTGCTGAAACTATTTTGATAAGTGATGCTGCATTCTACAATCTTTTAATTAAGCAGCAATAACTACCAGAGCATGCAATTAGAGAAAGCACTCAGATCTACACAGCAGTACTGGGAAAAGATGTCTAATAATTTTTTATGTGTGTGTGCAATGCATACAAATATAAATTCATATAATACAGTGATAATATAATTACAACTTTGGAGAAACTACAACGAAAGTAGTTTTATTAATAAGGAACAATCTTCGGGTTTGTATTCGATGAGAGAATTCTTCCTAATTTACTGAATTTGGGCTGCATCGCACTTATGTTTGAAGTCGACTCTAATTGATTTACTGAGTATCCTTTTGCAATGATGTTAAGGTTAAAGTCCATCCAATTTATACTTTGTCCCTCAAGAAACACCAAAAATACTTGGGTACATTTTGAACTTGAAATGGAGGTACAGACCAATTGAAAGAGTTAAGAGTAAGCTTTAACTGTGCAATATGCAAGTACCCTGATTCCTGGATTTCCTTTTATGATTTTCTATGTGGTGTGCTCCTTATCTCAGCCAAGCTATCTTGGCAGGTACTTTTCAAAGGCTTTCCTTGAGGGAGAGAAAGAAAATCAGATTGTCAGTCAACCTAATCTGGTTCCTCATGACTTCCAAGTGGTGAGTTCTCGAGTAACTGTGGCAGGAATCCAAGGAGAGCTTAGTTGGTTTACCTCTTGCCAAGCAGATACATTGACAGAAAGAAAACAGGATTACATTATAGCAGCAGAAAATAGAAATAGAAGCCTACCACTCCCTTCCCCCAAAAGTTACTGAGACAACATGAGAAAGATTGCTATGAGTTACACTAAGCCATTTGTTTCTTTTTTTCAGGGGGTATATTTGAATCAGTGGAAAAAACTCCATCTGGGGCAGAGGAACTAGCCTTTAAATTTGCTTTAAATACAATCAACAGAAATAGGACACTGCTGCCAAACACAACATTAACATACGACATCCAAAGGATAAATATCTACGATAGTTTTGAAGCATCCAGAAAAGGTAAGGCATTGTGCCCAGAAATGCTGTAAATGTATTTGTTCTGTATTCCCAGAGCACTGTCAAAGCTAATGGCATTTTATGATCAGCGAGTGTATGAAAGGACAGAAATGCTCTCTAGCTTTCTAACAGAAATAAGAAGGAAAAGCTGCCTGTAACATATAAAAGGACATTTGATGATGTAGTGCAGTAATAATAATAATTCTAGCATTTGATATTGGGCCTTATCAGGTCTTCGAGATGTCTCAAAGTGCTTCACAGAATATACTGTAAAATAGTGGAAGATGTTTGGTTGAATAATTCCTGCTGGCAAATTGGGTTTCTCTTTCATTATTAACAGAATTGTGTGTCTCCTCTTCAGCCTGTGATCAGCTTTCTCTGGGCGTGGCAGCCATCTTTGGGCCTTCTCATAGTTCATCAGCAAATGCAGTGCAGTCGATTTGCAATGCTCTTGGAGTTCCTCACATACAGACCCGGTGGAAGCATCAAGTCTCAGACAACAGGGATTCTTTCTTTGTCAACCTGTATCCAGACTTCACGTCCCTCAGCCAAGCCATTCTGGATCTGGTACATTTCTTCAAGTGGAAAACTGTGACAGTGGTGTATGATGACAGCACAGGTATGTGGACAAGCCGTACAAAGTAAGGAAAACATATTTCTGAGATGGGCTTCATTTGCATAAGTTATTTATTTGATATTCAGCAATTTGCAGAAGTGTTTATGAAACTCTGCTTTGTTGTGTGATGCCAGTCAGACAGATTTATACAAATGATGCCCCAATGCTCATTTTGCACAGTTGATTGAAAGTGTACAATGATTTGTTGAAAAAGAAAGGTGAGGGATCAGATTCATGATGTCTGTATGTTTTAAACGTGTGCTTGGAAATGTCAAAAGAAGATAAAGGTTCTTGTTCAAAATACTTGTTTCTGTTTAAATGTGAAGGTCAAGTTTACGGTATTTCTTAACTAAGAAGTTCAGAAGTCCATGCAGCAGATTAATGGGAATGCCACTCCAACTAGAACTATTCTTGAAGCTGTTTCCTCAAGTCGGCGTAAAACAATAACAACATCAATTTACCTTTCACTTCAGAAGGTGAAAAACCTTTGCACAGGTTTTCATGTCTGAAAAGCGTTCACACAGCTGACTGAGCTTGAACAAGAAAAAAAATGTTTTTCTTGGATTTCCTTTATTTTTCAATGATTTCTTCATTCAATAAGAAATACTACAAACCTGACTGCAATATTTTGGTGCAGTTTGCACCATCTCCAGAATTTGGAATGACTCCATTGTAGTCATTCCAAACTGACTACAATGATACAATGAAATACATAGTGATCCTCAACTTTTTTTCTGAAATATTCCACAGGCAATTTGCTCAAAATGGCAAATGCTTTTATGAACAGTGGAAGTTTTGAAAACAGAAGCACGCTGAGTAAGTGTGTTTGTAATATCCTGGAAGAGTAAAGTAGAGCTAGATTCCCATGTTGTATATATTGATAGTGCAGCTAAAGCCTTTCAGATTTCAAAGTGTTAAACTTGCATCTAATACATGCAGTCCTGGTGCAGTGTACCAAAGCCTTAAAGCTGATATCCTTAGAAGTACATTGAGACTCATTATTCAAACCTGACTTACTTCATTTTGCTTTTTCCCTTAATTTTGCTCTCTGATCACCTTCAGTCTGTCTCTTGTCCTTTGCACTCTCTCCTTCCATTAACTAGTTTATCTTCCCTTTGGTAATGAAACTTATGGAGAAAGCCCAGCGATATTCACCCAACAGATACTCATCCAACTATGCTCTATCTGTAACACAACCAAACCACAAGTGAAAAGAGACTTCATTCTTCAATCAGTGTAACAAACTGCATGGCCATTGTTATCAATTACTCTCATGAAATGAATTAAATTTGATAGCTCCATACCTACTACAATAATAGAACTTGAATAGATTTTTTGTTTAAATACATAGTTTATTTTAAAGGGCGAATAGCTGATATGAGAGAGGGGAAGTTGAGGGATCCTGAGAAAAAGCTTTATGCTGCTTGCTTTGCTGAAAGTCATTGTGTGGGCTAACACAAGCACACACACTCACATGTGCACCCACGCTCGCACTCTGCTCAGACTGACCACAAATATGTCCTTGCTATTATTTACAAGTTCTAATTGTGATACTCCTATGTATTTAGTACGCTCTTTTAGAATGCTTGGATTGAGCTGTTCCCATTTTGACTCAATTTGTGATCCTGAATTCAGGATTCACAAGCAAACCACAGCAGTACACAACTGCTACACTTGACAGAGGTTATCTGTGAAGGGGGTTGAAACATTACGATATTCTTGCTTTATCAACCGTGGGATTGCAGTTGATTTCAGGTGGGGCAAGCTAGTGGATTTCTTTGTCTACTGCTGGCACAAATGGCGGCGGGAGGAAAAGCCATTAGAAGAGGTAAGTAGCAGCGAAATTAATACTGCAAACCAAAGCCAGACCACGTGTGACATTTGAGAACTCCTTAACTATAACTTTGCAGTCACACTGTTTGCTGAAAGGAGGTTTAATTGTGGCAAAGGCCCCGATGCACAAAAATACTATGATTTTTGTTAGAATCATGTTCAATGAAGTGACAAATTACTACCTAGCTTGTCATTTGCATTAATTCTATGGATTAAAAATTATTCAGCCAGCTAACTGGTTTGCGAAAGCAGAAACTTGAACAAATATTATCATGTTTAACGGTCAGCTAGGCTGGAGAAACAGTTTGTGGGCACAGGTTTTACCTGCATGAATGCATAATTCCACACATTATTACTTTGATGAATTCCCCTTGATAGACACAGACGTTTCCTGGATCGACTGAGCACCACACTATTTTAACCTTTTATTCTAGGAAATTGGTAGAACAGCAGTAGTCATGGAGTCGAGTGTACAGGCAGAGACAGAGTTGGGTGCTATTTGTGTACATGTGGAAGTGAACCCCATGTCTGTGGATGATGTTACCAAGAAGCAGCATATAAATAGTGACAAGGAGAGGACTGAGAATAGAGCCTTGAGGAACGCCATATGTGACTGTGTGGGGGCAAGAGGAGAAGCCATTAGAAGAGACAAAGTGAAGACACTTAGATAGGTAGCAGTGAAATGAATACTAATGCTGGAAACTAAAACTGATACTATAAAGTTTTTTAATATGCGTGGTTAGTGTAAACCTGATACTGTAAGGTGTTTTAATATGCGTTAATATCACTTGTAATACTGTAAGGTGTTAATGGGTTGATTGCTGTCCAGCTAATGTAGTGAAATGTTTCAATGAGTGTTGGTTGATGCATTGTTCATACTGCCAACTGATACTGTTAATGTGCATTGTTTGTCAGGTAGCTGGCGCTGTAGAATAATAGAATTACATAAAATAACACAGAAATAGGCTATTTGGCCAAACTAGTCTGTGCCAATGTTTGTACTCACACAAGCCTGCACACTTTCTATTCCCATTACCTAAACCCCATCAATTCCCTTCTCCCTCATGCGTGCATCACATTTCCTCTTAAATACATTGTTCTTTGTGCTTCAAGCACAGTTTCTGACAGTGAGTTATACATTCTCACCATCCTTTACGTGAAGTTGAAGATCCTCCTAAACTCCCTCTTAGATCTAGTACTGGCTATCTTAAATGTATGGCTCTTTGGTTTGGATGCACAAACAAGAGTAACAGCGTATCAACATCCACTGTATCAAATCCTTTCATGATCTTAAATACCTGTATCATGTCCTTTCTCAAGCATCTCATCTCCAAAATGAAAAGTTGCTACCTGTCCAATCTTTATCAATAGCTGTATTCACTCATCCCTGGTAACGTCCTTGGAAATCAAGGTGAAACCTTGGGCAAAGTTTCCTTACTCCACATGCCTGATAATAATCCCTCAAGAAGAAAACAATAATAAATTAATCACTTCAATCCACAACTGTTTGTGGGACACTGCTGTGCGGAATTGGCAATTCATGTTACAGTATATTTTGTGAAGCGCTTTGAAACGTCTAGAAGACGTGAAAAGCGCTATATCAAATGCAAGGATTATTATTATTATAAATCTACACTGCATTCTCTCTAATATTACATGGATATGGAGACTGACTTGCTGAACATCTCTGTTTTTTTCCTCAAGTATAATCCTGTTCTGGCTTATCACGTCATTTTCCCTTTCACTCTCACTCTGACCTCTCTATCCTTGGTTCCGCTGCACTGCTCCAGGATGCTTCAGGAACATTATTTTATGCTTTGCTTAGAAACCTTTCAGATTACAGACTTGAATATTGACTTCAACATCTTCCAGCTTTATATCTGCTCTGCATTTGCATCAACTATCCCGAGCTTTTTCTTTTCTCTCTCTTTATCTAACGAAGCTCTACTGGAGTTTTACAATTACTACTGCTGTCTCACTTTTATCTTTTTTACATCACCATTTGAACAATATGTTCCCCCCTGATAAAGGCCCATTCAGTGCTTCATCATGTATGTAAATCATTTTAAACTTCATCTTGACTCATAGAAATATCTGAAAATGAGAGTTTATACAATGTTGGCAGATCTTTTAAGTGCCCAATGCACTGACCTTTTACCATACTTCTCAAGACTTGTGTTACCTGGCTATAATAATAATAATAATCCATGCATTTGATATAGTGCCTTATTGTGTCATTGCTACTAACAACTGGGTTCCAACTCACTGCTTGGTAAACAAAATACACAGTCAATCCACTTTACAGTATATCATGTGAAGCTTCACAGGATATACTGTAAAGTGGATTGACTGCATTTTGTGGGCAAAACATGGGAGAACAGTTGCACACAGCAATGTTCCATAAACAGCCATCGAGTGAGTGACCAATTTTTATTTTTTATTTGTGGGGAATTGCTGGTGAGGACACTGGGAGAAACTCCCTTCCCTTTTCAAATTTTTGTAAAAAGTGGATATTCTGGTATAGTGCCATTTGCACAGCATTTTCAGTGTCAGTCCGACTCATCTGATACCACACTCACTTCTGAGTCAGAGGGTAGTAAGTTCAAGGCCCACAATTTGATCTTTGAACACAGCTTCAGGCTGATGCAGTGTTGGGGGTGGGTTGCATTGTTGGAGGTTGCGTTCTTCGGATGAGACTGAGGTCCTGTCTGTCTGTTCAGGTGGATGTTAAAGATCCCATGGAACTTTTTGAAAAGAGAAGGGAGTTTCTCCTAGTTTTGGCCGACAATCCCTTGGATAAAATTGGTCACTTGCTTCTGGCTGTTTGTGGGACATTGTTGTGCATAAACTGGCTTCCCTGTGTAAACTAACAAAATACACAGATACCTCCAAAATACACAGTCACCATACTTTAGAATAAAACCTGTGGAGTTCTTTGCAATGCCCTCCTGACATAAAAGGCACTGTATCATGTACCAGGATTATTATTTTGCTCCTGTCTCTGCCCATTTTCATTATTGTATGCAATTATGACCTTGTGAGCCCCTCATTATCAAGCATTTTTGTGTTCCTTCTTGCCTTATGTTTCATGACTTTTTCCTGGTGGCTATTTAACTGTTACAACCATTTAAACCAATTACCCTATTCAGCAACCAGTCGGATTTCATTGCTAATTTCCTCCTTAAAGGCCATAACAACTGGTGGAGAAAAGTCTTCCTCCCTCTACCTTTAAAATGGAAAATCTTGTGCTCTACTCCAAGCTGCTTCATTGTTTAAATTTTGCATTAGACCTGCATCAATATTTAAACCTCTTGTGATTACCATTTCCACTGTTTTCACTGAAGCCATTAACTACATGAGGTGCATGTTGCCATTTTATGATTGTGACTTGGCAGCGATGAAAATAGTGTTGACAAACCGTCTCCTCCTCCTTCAGTAAAAGAAAGGAATTTCTATTCCTGCTGTATTTGTGATTTGTTGAGCATTTCCATGAAATCTTTTGTACCCAATGATGTATTTACATTAGTGACAACTACCAATGCCTCATTTGCCTGCAAAATAATAATAATAATAATAATAATAATAATAATAATAATAATAATAATAATAATCCTTGCATTTGATATAGCGCTTTTCACGTCGGGAGGACGTCCCAAAGCGCCTCACAGAGTACACTGTAAAGTGAATACACTGTCACTGCACTTTACAGTAAATAATAATCTTAAAAATAATAATCCTTTCATTTGATAGAGCATATTTCATGTTAAGAGGATGTCTCAAAGCTCTTTACAATATTTATAGTAAATTGAAGTGATTGTGTATTTTGTAACTGGCGATACTGCCAGTTTGCCATCAGCAACATCCCACAAACAGTCATGGAGTGAGTGACCAATTTTATTTGAGGGATTATTGACCAGGATGCTGGGAGAAACTCCCTTCTCTTTTTGAATAGTGCCATGGGATCTTTAATGTTCACCTGAACAGGCAGAAATGATCTTGATTTAATGTCTTGTTCGAGGGCGGACACCTTCAACAATGCAGCAGCCCCCCAGCCTAGATTATGAATTAGAATTGTGGAGTCCTGTAGCTCAGTGGTTAGAGCACTCGCTTTGCAAGCGAGAGACCTGAGTTCAATTCCAGGCAGGGCGAAACCTTGGGCAAGTTTCCTTACTCCACACGCCTAATAATAATCCCTCCAAAACCAAAAACAATAATTAAATTGGTCATTTTCAATCTATGACTGTTTGTGGGACATTGCTGTACGCAATTGGCTGCCGCGTTCGCCCACAAATATACAGTCAACTCACTTTACAGTATATTCTGTGAAGCGCTTTGGGACGTCCTCCCGATGTGAAAAGCGCTATATCAAATGCAAGGGTTATTATTATTATTATTATTATAGAATCCTGACATGGGGCTGAAACCCACTATCCTCTGACTCAGAGGTGAGAGTGCCATCAAAAGATCCAGGCTGACAAACCGTATGAAGTAACTTTGACACGTACCCCCGACGTGAACATTGCTAGATCAAATATAAGGATTATTGTTAATAATTTCCCCTAATTATTGTACATACATCTTCCAGTCATTAGAATTATTAGGCCACCAAACTTTATCACAAACTTTAAAACTATTGTGTGTAAAGAAACTGCACTGCAAATGGATAGTTTCTGCCTTCTCTGGGACCTGGAGCCAGTGTTGTAATAGTGCTTGAAGAATATGAATAGGCTACGGGTTGATTGAACGGAGGCTATCGAAGGCATTGTCAGTAAAATGTCTATTTTGTTCCATCTCAATGAAATTCCCTCAGGTAATCACCTCTCATTTTTCACAGGAGCAAGGTAATGGAAGGTTTAACTTGCTGTTTTGTCTTGGATTGTCAGGGCTGCACCCAATTGTCTGCTCTGTGGTGGGTTCAGTTGAGGGCAAACACGCACGTCATTGTAATGTGATGTGTGTGGCATCACACAGAGACAGGCAGGAACTCCGCTGTGAAGGGGGAGATGCAGATAATCGGCTGGCGCTCCCCCGATGATATTCCATTGATTTTGTGCAGTGAGAGCATGCAATGACGAGGATATATCAGTGCACATGATGTGTGATCATGTCACACCCTCTCACCGGACGGCTGTTCTGTGCTGGAACCTGAGTGCTCCCCATACCCAGAAAGCGAAGTTCCACTTCCACTTGTTTGTTCTTCCTTCCTCTGGAGGTGTGAGCAAAGGTTGCAAAACAGAACATAGTGCACTCTGGAAACTGACAGAGCAACTCAGGCAAGGGTGCTGGTGTTGAGAAATTGCTTCAAAGGTAGCTTGTTTCCTTTAATAAATGCAAGGTTAAGTTTACTACTACATCTATATTGGATTAATGATAATGGTAATCCTTGCATTTAATATAGCCTTCATCAAATTGTTGAGACGTCTCAAAGTGCTTCACAGAATATATTGTGAAGTGAATTGACTGTATATTTTGTAGGCGAAACACCGCAGCCAATTGCGCACAGCAGTGTCCCGCAATTGGCTGGATTGAGTGACCAAATTATTTTTGGGAAGGATTATTGACTAACAACTGGGTTCCTATTTACTAACAATGGGGTGTGGAGTAAGGAAACTTTCCTAAGGCTTTGCATCATCTGGGAATCGAACCCGGATTCTGTCACTTGCGAGACCAGTGTGCTAGCCACTATGCTATGGGATGCCATGTATAGACTAATAGTACTATATATCTGATGACTATATTTTTACGTGACTGTAATATTTAACGCAGATGTTTATCTTAATATAGTTTTAAGTTTTTTTTACGTTACTGAGGGAGCAGCATTGATGATTTCCTCCACTTTGTTTGAGGATCAGTATCTCATACTTCATGGTTCACAGATCAAACATAGGTTTGCAGCAGGATTGAATAGTGCAGTGAGATGAACTCTTTGTCCATTCATCTCTTGGACTTCGGTTTCCATCGCAGATCCAAGAGATGAAAGCCACATCTCTCTGTCAGCACCTTCAACCAGGATCTGAGTGAGGATCTGTGAGAATGAGCTCACAGCACAGAAATGCCAACAATGCAGCATACATTACATTAAAAGATCAGTAAAGATCTAATAAACCTGTGTACCGGCTCAATTGGCTGAATAGCCGCATTCTTTTCCTAGCTTTCTATTTTCCCATAAGCGTCATACTGTACCTCACCTAAAAGTGCTTGATGCTGAATTTAGATGCCAAAAGTGGAAAAGCATTTTATTCTCCAGCATTTAAATCCATCACCTCAAAGAGCATAAACATTCACCTAAAATTAAAAATTTAAGAAAACGTGCCACACAGCTCTAGTGAGGACCAACTCTTCCAATAGTAAATTTATTAGGTGCACTTTTCCTAGATTACGAAACAATTCTTATGTACTTTAATTCATCTGCAGAGCATTAAAAGGGAAAAGGTGTTTCAATTGATTTACGTGCAGACAAGAGACAGTGAGAGATGATGCTGCTCAACAATTACTCTTTGAATCACGCAGGATATGAATTTGTGCATTGGTACAACTGAAGGTTCATTGCTGCTTTGGCATGCATGGACATGCAGTGATTTGTTGGATATCAGCTATTTAATAAAAGAGGCATCTGGTACAAAGACACATAACATCGCTCTGTGCTTGTGCGATGTAGAAATGAATAATGCCAATTATTTTCTGACTTAGTGACAGGTTGCAATGGCTCCACAGGTCAGCTTCACCTTGTATTTGTGTTGTTTTTCTTTCTCATCTTTGTAAGGTCTCATTCGGCTACAAGAGCTCATTAAAGCTCCATCCCGATACAGCATCCGCTTAAAAATTCGGCAGCTTCCATCAGACACAAAGGATTCCAAGCCTCTGCTGAAGGAAATGAAAAGAAACAAGGAATTCCATGTGATATTCGACTGCGGTCATGAGATGGCAGCTGGAATCTTGAAGCAGGTGACTGTTTACAATGCACTGCAATACCATTCACACTTATATAGCACCTTTCATATTTCATGTCAGGAGGACATCCCAAAGCACTTGACAATTCCGGCTGGACACCGGAGCTGTCAGTGAGAGCGGGGGTTGCGGGGGGGAGAGTGAGAAGGGAAGAGATGACTGAAAGTGCATTCAAAGGGGTATGTTTCAAGGTGTACCCCAAAAGAGGGAAGAGAGGAAGCAAGTTGGAGTTTCCTGGGAATGGAATAATACAATAATGATGTAGTTATTGTACATTGACACAAAACATACACAAGCCCTTATTTGGGTACTATGTATTCAATTACATGCAAAATGTAAGCATTTCTAAGAACAGCTATTTAGCAATAATTTAATTATTTGCTTATATTACCCATGCTGAAGTCAGTGTACCCCTAGAAAATCCATTCAGGAAGTGATAAATTAGGGCTTTTCTTTCCACACTAAACTTGCTCTTGTGTAATCTGAAAGGAGTGAATCCTGCTGGGCTGCCCTGGCTGCCCTCTGGCATATGTGCCTACCAGTTGATGGCCAGTAGTGGGCGCAAATGGTAGGTGCTGTGCCTTGCAGCCATCTATGCAAACCGTTTGCAGCCTTGCAGATTTATTATTTTGTGAAAAAGCCAGTCAATACTGCAGAGGCGTGAAATAATAAAGATTCATGTTTAAATAAAGCAAAAGCTTCATTTGATATTTTTATTTTTTTTTAAATCCATTTTTGTTAAAAAAAAGTCCTGGCTTTAAGATGTGACATACTTTACAAAGTCATTTATCTTGCACGACTTGAACAAAGCAGTCAGTGCACAAATATGCTGCTGCCTAGTGTGAGGGACATTCATTAATATTGATAAAAGTACTGTCATTGAACTGTGTGTTTTGTTGAGGAATGTTATGTCGGGAAAGAAAAGCAAAATCCTTAAAAGACATTAAAGTTGCGATTTATTTTGAACAGTGTGATTTTTAAAAGTGGCCTGTTTGTAAGATCTTTTCCTTAAAATATGTGTCTTTATAACTGCACAATCTGCTTCACTGTTATTGATGACTCACACGGAGAAAGTTGGAGATACTTTGGCTGGAGATAGCCTAAATTACAACATTAATCTAATCACATAATTTTATCCCAAGTGGCTTGTACTCCTTTCTCTCTCAATCTCTCTCTTTCATAATCATGTAACATGCCAGACAAATGCTGGAATCTGACCTGACATTAATTTCTTTTTTGCAGGCTTTGTCGATGGGAATGATGACTGAATATTATCATTACATTTTCACCACTTTGGTAAGCAAGCAAACCACATTATTGGGGAGGACAAGTTTGCAGGACTTTGGGGAGAGAGCAGGGGAGCGGGATTGATTTTGATAGCTCTTTGCAAAGAGCCGGCACAGGCACGATGGGCCGAATGGCCTCCTTCTGTGCTGTATAATTTTATGATTCTATGATTATATGATTTTTTTGATTATTTTTTGGTCAGCCAAAAAATGTCTGACACACGCGGAAACCTATTACCATGCTTAAGAGTATCCAAACCAAGCTGAGATTTCCACGCATCCCACCTACACTTGGAAATCCCAGGGATAGATTGTTGGAATGGAATGCGCACTCTCTCCCTGGAGGGACGCACCCTGCTTACCAAATCCTGGAAAGTATTAGGCGCAGGTGGCAAAAGCCAAGGCTTGGGGATCCCAGAGTGTACATTGGGTACTGCTGGAGTCTAACAAGCTGAAACTGCATAGCGTGCCATTGATATCGCTCTGGCAAGCTTTCCCACTGGTTGTCCAGCTAGGAAAAACCTACCTGTTGGGCTTTGGCTTGCAGGGTTAACAGGAGCTGAGTGAGATGACTCCCTGCCCCCAGTGACTGGTCTGCCCTTCCAGTTCCTGTCAATAAGCCAGCAGTGCCTGGAATACTGTGGACCCGCCTGGCTCAGGAACCAGACTACTGAGACTGCCACAGAGGGGTGGCTCGATTCCGACATTCCATTAACAGGCATGTCACCTTGGAGCCAGTTCAGCTCCAAGGAGATCTTGCTTAATATAATGATGAGGATCATGCCAGAATGAATAGATGACTCTTTTTCACATTCAGGTCGCAATGGTGTCCTTTATTCAGTTGACCATTTTAAGACGCTGGATTAGTGATGGGTGCAATGATGTCCAAAAGACATTGTGTCAGCCTCTCATGCTGTACATGGAGCTGAAGTACACAGACTACACTTGAATTGTTCAACTGTTAGAACCATAGAACTATGCAGCACAGAGGCAGACCATTCAGATGATTGTGTCTATGCTGGCTCGGTTAACAAACAATCATTTTAGCCCAATTTACCTGCCCTTTCCCCATATCCTTACAGTTTACTCAATTTGCGTTCTTCAGCTTTGCTTTCAGTATGCCAAATAATGCTTTCCAGCATTTGAATTAATATTGATAGATCTACAGTCACTAAACTAGGTGATTTGGTGTTATGTGGGAAGTAGAATAAAAAGATTCATAGATGGTAGAGCTCAGAAATAGACCATTTAACCCATCCAGTCTAGGTGATGTTTATTCTCCACACAAGCACGTTTCCTTACTCCCTCCCCTATCCCTTAACTTTATCATCTCTTAAAAGATGTTTTAAATATTGAATTTTAAAAGTATTGTGCCCCTGCAGTGGCAAAATTAATAATGACTTGTACAGCATTTTCTTACATTTAGACATTCTTAGCAAACTGTACACACATGCCTCATTTATCACGACTGTTACCAGTCTTAGTTAAAGACACAATGCCATTGATAATGCACTTACTGCATTGACAAGCTTATTAAATGCCACTGACAATGCAGTATTAATACAAAGGTTGTGTAATTCTCGATCAAAATACATTAGGAGATGAGAGGGGTTGGGCATTCCTCTTTTGTTTAAGTTCCTCTCTTACAGTGACACATTGACTGACCTTCTCAACAATCACTTTGCAGTTTATTTCCCTTGCATTGCTAATCCTACAATCATGCTTTTCAAAAGTAGAATATGAGGACTAAAGCGGGTTACTTTTGTTCAAAATGTTCCCATTTTAGTTCTCTGGATATATAGTTTCAGAAATGCTATACTATTGGTTGACCTTTAATATAAAAAGCACAGTGTGGAACTCATGATGAAATCCTGATATTCTTACCATCAAATGGCCCTAAGACCCACATATTCTGCTGCAATGTTTGCAGTTGTCTTACTAGATGGTGCTTCATTGTACCAGCATCTTATACCTTAATGCCAACACACATCAGGAACAGTAAATAAGTGACATCTTCCCTTAAGCCCTTTAAATGCATTTTTGCATTGTTTAGTTTCTCTTTAGCCTTGGATTTAATGTAGAATGGCACTTAGTTCATTCCTGTCACAGACAGTTGGCTTAATATTAAATTACTTTTAACTCTTAGGATTCCCAGAAGTCATACTCAAGCTGTAGAGTGCCCTGGTCAGGCCGCACCTAGAGTACTGCTCAGTTTTAGTCACTGCGACATAAGGGGGCTGCTCATGCCCTAGACACATTAGAGAGGAGAGAGATTAACATGATCCGCAATGTTAGAAAAATGAGCTACAAGCAATGATTAGACAAGCTCGGGCTCTTCAGTGTTAAGACAAGATGTCTCAGAGAGGACTTTATAGAAGTATAAAATATTTTAAATGGGATTGAGCAAATAAACCCAGAAGAATACTTTGGGAAGCACTGAAGCAACTGGTGCAGGTTTAGATTGCAAAGGGCATTTCCAGGACAGACATCAGGAAGTATTTCTTTAACCAGGGGGTAATTAACAGCTGGAACAGGTTCCCAGAAAGGGTGATTGAGGGCACATCACTGAAGTCATCTATCAACCTATCTATATACTAATAAAGATGTATTGTCTGTTTATCTGTGTGTCTGCTAAGAACTCAATAATGATTGATATAGAGACATGATGTATACCTCATTGGAAAGGTCTTGCAACGGGGAGTGTCATGGGCATATTTTGATTTGGGGCTCTCCTATCATTGATGAGCTATATTAAAACAAAAAGCTCATCACACATGTATTGCAGTTCCATGTACGCTGCGGCACTGTAGCAGGATGCCTCACAGAGCACACACGAACTCAGACAAAGCTAAGTGGCGGGAACAAGATGGCGGTGGTGAGGTAGAAGATACCTTGAGCGGCGTTGATGGCAGCGATTTGGTTGCTTTTCCTGCTGCTCCTGGGCAGCCCCCGGGCTGGACTGCGCCATGTCAGAGTTGGGCCAGTGACGGTTGGCTTGGTAAGGCCGTGGGATTTCTGGGTTCCTCCGCGCCATGGCCCAGCAGCGACTAGCTGGGAAGGGTGAAGCCTGGGGCTCAAGATTGGGGCATAACCCTGGGCTGAGTTTTAGCCCCACCCTTTCTGGAGTTTAGCCCCTCCTGCTCTCTCTCCCCTTACATATATAATTTTATATAATAATCTATCTATACAAATAAAGACAAAATGTCTGTCTGTGTGTCTGTCTGTGAGTCAATCTACATTCAATATTGGATCCTTTAGTTGCAAGCAAAGCTGCAACGGGTACAACTTGTCTGAAAAAAGCTCAGTGTTGTGATAGGAAGAAATTCTGGAAAGATGAGATCAGATTGGCTGAAGGGTCTTCTCTGTCAAAACTGATTTTGTGATCTTATGACACTTGCTCTTGAAACTCAGTATCCTTGTTTTTAAGTAAACATAAAACATATGTTTACATTTAAAAGTGGATCAGACATGGATGCATTTTAATGTAATTTACACCTCTTCAGGGATGTATTATTTGAGTTATCTTCTTAGTTTGCTAAGATCAACTCAAGAGGTACCCCAACGCACACTCTGGGTCCCCAAGCCTCATCTCTTGCTGCCTATGCCTAATACTCTCCAGAATTCGGTAAGCAGGATGCTTACATCACTGTAATATGTGGGAGCTCCATCTTGTGAGTAGACAGGGGAGAAGTTCAGTTCTCACAGATCTGAAGTAGTTTGAGTCAAAAGGAATCCTCATTTGCAACATGGTGCCCTTATTAAGAAATCCCCATTTAAAATCACTGGGTTATAGTCAATTTATTGACTCTGATGTATTTACTTAAAAAAACATTCTGCCAAAAACAAACGTTACGTTTTGTTTGCGACCAATTTACCGCCAGCAAAAGCAAAACATTCAGCCACTCAAAAATTCTCCCTTAATTTTATTTCTTTGTTTTCTCCTGTAAATAAAAGGGGAATATATTGAATTGGAACAATTGTTAATCCTTTTACTGAAATGACATTCTGTGATGGACCACATTGTCGTTCTACCATTATAGATGTAAGTGTATGTGCCACAGCTCTTGTGCCCACCAAGTAGTGGCCCAACTAGAAAGAAGTATTGGTAGGACCTTGGGAAGAGCTTTGCACGAGAAAACATAATGCTCTTTATAAAATGTTTGCATCATAGTGTGGAAAATGGGACTGTAATTGTCATTTAATTTGGCGTAGTTAGTTTTCTGAAGACTTTTTAAGGTAAATACATTTATTTGGACTTAATTACCTCAGTCAGGATCTGTATTTGATCAAACTTCTTTGCTCCAGAGTAGTTTTTAAGATACTGCATTTCAGATCAACAATCAGAACTTGTGACTCTAACAAATCTCTTCCAGGATATATTTGCCCTTGACTTGGAACCTTACCGCTACAGTGGAGTGAACATGACAGGATTTCAGATCTTAAACACCGAGAACAGCCAGGTTGCCTCCATAATTGAGAAATGGTCCATGGAAAGATTACAAGCACCCCCCAAACCAGGCTCCGGTTTGCTGGACGGATTTATGACGGTATGATAAAATTTCATCAGTTCACTTTAATCTGGAATAATGATGTGACATGCACAGGATGTAACTGGTGGCAGCTCTAGCAAAGCAGAATTTTTTTTTTTTAGATATAAAATGAAGTGCATTGATATATTAGAAAATGACCCAGACTTCACCTTTTCACTTTCTTGATTGAAAGGCTTTCATGGAAGAGTTACTTTCTAGTCCCTGTGAAGTTGATGAGTATTTTCCTTTCTTAGTTGTTTACTAACAGATTTTTTTTGCTTTTCCTTGTCTTTTAATTTCTCCTTTCATTTTTGTTCCACGTGAGATGATAGTTTTCAAGGCTTTGCAAACCCCACTAATGTTGTAAATGTGTGAAAAGTAGACTCTCATGCCCACTTTCCATTATGATCCATGGGACACTTTGTGGGCATAAGTCTGCACCTCCCAGATGGCTGTTGGAAAACAAGGATCTTTCTCCTGTTGCCAGCCTTCAACCACAATGTCCTGGACCCCATTACATTCTGCCAGCCACCATAGGCATTCTGTGCTAAATCTCCAAAACAGTTAAAAAATTGACTTATTGGTGTCCTTAACTTGTTTTCCTCCACAGAGGCTTGTTGAATGTGAAATGCTTTGTCTCAAATGTCTGCTGAAGCTGTGTGCACAAGTGCATTTAAAAGAGAACCAGCTAACTATTTTGAGAAAAAAAATGTTCAATGGTAAAGAAAAAGCATACCATTGAACATTATTTTTTTCTCAAAATGAGGCAGCTGGAAAAGAAAGCAAAAGTTCAGGGTTGTGTGGAGTATTTTTAGGACAGGCATCAATAAGCACCTATTTACATAGAGTACGATCAACAATAACAACAACTTGTATTTTATAGCGCCCTTGCTGAAACAGATCAGCAGCTGGAATGGATTACCAGGAGGTGGTAGAGTCTAGCAGAACACTATCCCCATTTAAGAAACAGGTTGATGCTGAAATGGGTAGAAGTTAGGATGAGCAGACAGGAAGAATGAAATGAAAGGGTCTTCACCTCCGTACCTTTATTTGATTGTGCAAAAGAGCAGGCAAATGAGATTAGAGTTGATAGCTCCATTGGGACAAGTTACTGGCATGATGACCCAAATTGCCTCATTCTCTTCTGTAAACCTTCCAGGATTCAATCACAAATTTGCATATAGATAGTACATATTATGTGCTGTTCACAAATGAGAACAGCAGCACAAAGCCACTGCATTAATGTTGAGCGTTGAGAGCATATCTCAACAGTGAGGGGTGGGGAAAGGCATAAGAAACTCCTGCAACTTTCTGGAGTCTTACCAGTTATGTAAAAAAAAACTACTCTCAGCATTGTGTTTTTTAAACCAAAAGAAATCTGAAAACTGCAAACAATACGCATATAGTACTTGTGTTTATTGGAAAATTAAAAGCGAATTTTTTTTTCAGAAACAATTCTTTTATCGAACTGTTCAATGGTAAACTGGTGCACAGACATCCAGAAGGCCATTCCCTTCACATCTACCCTGACTCACAACTTTGGCACAGACAATAGCTCAGAGAAATGAACTCTAAATCCCTTAACAATTTTTTTTAGAAAGAAAACAAAATCCCTAAGTTGCAGAAAATATCCAGTTGGATTTAGGTAAAATTTGCAGCAGGAACAGCTAATCCAGAAGATAGCCTGAGTAATATTAACAAAATAGTCTAAATTTGAAGCCTTTCCCAATGTACCACTTAATCATCTTGAGAATGCCCTGCCTGGAGTCAAATATTTTGCATGCATAATTAAGATGACCTAACAAAGCTTTACAGCTTTATTAACATAATGTTTCCTTGCTAATTGCTTCACCTATCATCAGTTGTAACTTGTGTACTTTAATCTTTGCTGTTTCATGATGTGACAGCACAGGTTTTCATTCCTCAACTGTGCTCATTAGTTTTGGGGGAGATGCGTATTTGTTGTTGCTGATAACACATGTAGAATGCTTCTCAGTGAGCAGAAACACAGACACTTCTTGATAAAGAACAGACTGAATGCTCGTGCTACACAAGCATTTTGCATTAAATAGGTTGCATTTGTATTCCATGCACACAAACAAGGGCTCCTACAATAACATTATTTTGCATTGCTTTGAAATGTTGTACAAAACACAGTTGGCTAAACTACCAGCTAGAATATGAGAGGCTTTCTATGATGGTGACAGGAGTGGTTTTAAAGAGGTTCTTTTTTTATTGTTTTGTCTTTGTTGTATTTTATGAAAGTGCCTTGAGACGTTCCCCCGACGTGAAAGGCGCTATACAAATGTAATTTGTTGTTGTTGAAAAAGAGAGTCAATACACTGTCTCAGAAAGAGCTTAAAGGAACAGCACCAAATAGGGTTGCTCTTTCCATTCCCAGTCTTTGAGATGCTGACAAGGAGTGGCAGATTGGATAATGTATAGCATCACATGAATGTCATAGTTAGAGAACTCAGACAAAATTGGGTATAAACCAGTTTGTATTGTGCAACAAAGAGATTCATATTAAACTACTATGATGAAGCTCCAAATTATTGAAATGAAACTCTTGTATGCTTTTGCTGGAGTCAGTTAGATTTTGCCTTAGCTGTATTAAGGTTGCAAGATCAGATTGGTGGGTTGGTGTGGGGCTAGGTAGATTTTACAATTTTCATTATGGGTTAACAGAAAATGAAATGCTCAATTCATTTAGGCATCTTGGGATTTGTCTGCAACTTTGGTTTAAAGCACTTTGCCTTCTTCAGAGATTGATTAATAGCTTTGTAGGATTGGAAATAACTCTGAAGTACTGACGTCACCCGGTGGTGCTTTTCTTACAAATGTAAAAAGGATTGAGTTCACCTCCGTCATGTAAATCTGATGAAGAAAAGATCTCAGCTTTCCTTCAATCTTAGCAAACGACAACTATCCCCCACCCCCATCCCCCCAAATGAGTCATATTGGTTTTCCACATTGAGGTTAAAGACAGACAATTTTGAAATGAATTGTTATGCATGAATGAATTCTTAAACCTTTTAAAAAAACATAAAATTATGTTGAAATGTACAATTTTAACATGATTTTAATTTTATGACTGAAGATGGCTGCCTTGACCTTTTGGTTGACCTCTCTCTTTTGATACAAAATAGCCTCCTTGGACTTTTTGGGTTGACATTTCACCTTTGACTTCTCTCTTCCTCTCTCTCTTTTGAGACAGAGAATCGGAATCAAACCTCGAATCTCGACATCCGAAAAAAACATTTTTGTTTATTGTGTTTTCGAAGTATAAGCCGAAACCTCGCACTCCTTCTCCCTGTGGGCTGCATTCAGGGAGTTCCGTAGCATAGTTGTTAGTGCGCTCACCTCACAAGCGAGAGAACCTGATTTTGATTCCTAGATTATAAATAAACCCTTCAACTTTTTAAATTTTTAAAAATAATTTTAATAATTTGGTCACTCAATCCACGACTGTTTGTGGGACTGTGTGCAATTGGCTGCTGGGTTTTGCCCACAAAATATACAGTCAGTTCACTTTCAGTATATTCTGTGAAGCGCTTTGAGATGTCTTGAAGATGTGATAAGGAGCTATACCAAATGCAAGGATGATTATTACTGTTATAAATTGGGCCTAAATTAATCCTGGCAACTGATGTGGTCGCAATACCAAGACTCCCTGGAATTACTTCCTGGAAAATGAATGTTACAATTGGATATGAAAGAACATCTAGCAGGACCTCCTCAGAACATGTTCAATAACAGCATGGAACTTTGGTAATCAAGAGTGGCTTATTTTACACTACTGTATTCCTCCCATAAAATAGCTAATAACGAGCAACCGTTGAGCAATTTTGTCTTAGTCAGTGTTAGTTACAATGCAGTTCAGCTTTATAATGGCTGTTTTTATGGGCTCTCTTTCCTCATAAAGCAGCAATATCCTTTTTCTTTCAAAGTCAGCCTCAAACCAAGGATGAGGCATTGTAGTTGCATGCGATCCTTCCACTTCTAAATTATGTATTTGAACTCAGTAGAATGGTGGGATAAAAGTCTCCTCTCCCTTCCGGCTATCAGAGGGCCCCACTTAAAATGAACTTGGTCAATCTGGCTTCCGTTCCTATGATAGGATTGACAGTCTTACTCCGATCCACCACTAAGATTGCTGGCATGGGAAAAATCAAAGGCCTTCTTATCCTTCTCATTAGATTGCATAACTAGAGGTTTTTGTTGAGGGTACCCGTAGCAAGAATACTTTTATGAACAATGTGACCCTTTGCTAGAGACACAACCCGAAACCTTAGGAAAACTGCAATGTACCTTTGGGCCTCAGGTGTTTTGCACCTTTTTCCTTGTGTTGTTACCTCTGCAACTGAAGGTCAGTTCTGCATATCTGAGTAACTCATTTAACTGAAAGGAGAATTCTTCAACTTTTGATACTCCTGAGGCCTGACATTTCATATGATCGTAACCTTGCAGCCATTGTCTGAAAATCTAAGATTGTGCAAAACCGTGGAAAACAGTCTGAAAAAGTCACTCTTCCAAAATTTTGCAGGATCTTTAAATGTTAATACTTTAAATGTTAATACTTTAAATGTTAAGTCTTAAGGCTAAGAATATGCAATTATTCAGGCTTCTGATTTTAAGTTGCTTCCAGGAGCAAAGCGATTAGGAACCGTTTATATTACCCCATTCCAAAAATCTCAAGGAATTAAGAAGAGCTCAGCACACAAATGCTCACAAACTGTCACGTACCACTGCCATGTCAAAGTAGTTTGTGAAACAAATAGTTGTGGCTCAGGTTCTGCTTACAACTAGCCATGAATTTCACTGGAAATGAACCAGCATACATGGTGAATCTATTTCCTCTTGTAAGACAGAGGGTGGACTGAGATATGCAAAGCTTTTTTTTAGTTCAGCCAGCTTGATACACGTAGAAGTCCATCACTGCTTGAGAGTTCAGCTTATGTATGCTACCTACACATGGAAATTTCCCTGCCTCTGGAATTCTGAAATTAATGCAGCCT